AGAAATAAAATGAGAGAGGCTTATCGCTGAAAACCTTCGGGCACCATAAGGCGATGGTGAGTAGAGAAACTGAAAATGAGAGAGTCCGCTTAGTGAAAACTCGCAAAGAGCACTATCGGGCGACGGTGAGAAGAGAAATGAGAGAGGTCGATTGGCGAAAACCCGCAAAGGGCGCTGTCGGCCGAAGAGAAGACATCTCCCACCACTGAAAGAGTCCTGGCAAGGTTCCCTGGTTTTGAGACACGGGTCATTGAGTTTACGAGAAGTTGGGAAAGTTTGCGCGGATCGGGCATCCAGTCCAAGAAGCATGTCATGTTTATTTGAAGCTTGCATGCACCCCCAGATAAGTCCTTCTCTTCCCCCCGAAAGGGACGCTTCTCTTTAAATTCATCTTCTTGCTTACTTTTTGCTTGAATCCCTTTCGATCTAACGCTGATTCCGAAACTATTACAAAGAAAAGGTGGCAGGACCGGTTTCACAAGGCTCCGCCTGGCAAGAGTCAAAGAAAATACCCAGCCTCAGCGGACGCGTCAGTCCAATCCCGATTGACCATGGTGGTTGATGCTTTCGAAGCAAATACATTGGAAAAGAAAGAAAGTCAAAGGCAAAGGTTCTAAGAGCAGAATAAGGTAAAAGGGCTAGAGCCCACACGGGCGAGTCATCATGAAATCCTAAGGCTGAACGCGGTCGGTTTGAAAAGAGATTCACCCTCAAGGCAAACGAGCAGCAAAGTTCTCAACGGAAATGGGGCCGGGATCAAGCAATTGGGATGATCAAGGCCACAAAAACCAACCACCGTTTCAAACTAACAAACTGTTCTTTGTTGAAAACAGGTGCAATCAAAGCAACCATGCAAGAAGCAGGTGCAACCCAAAAGGAAATGAAGTGCGCAAGCGTTGAAACAGCTTTGCAGCAGGAAAACGACCAAAAAGGAAGTTTCCCTCCCCCCAAATTCTTTCATGCATTTTGCTAAATAAAAGGAAAACATATAAAGAGGAGAACAAAAGAAAAAGAAAGAAGAAAAGGAATAAAAATGAAAATCCCAAAAGAAAAACAAATCATGGTAGCATAGGATCCCATTCCTTAAATCTCCCGGCCAAAAAACCGAGAAACTTTTTCTTTCCAAATCCCGGCCAAAAAACCGAGGATCTCCCGGCCAAAAAATCGAGGAGCTTTTTCTTTCCAAATCCCGGCCAAACAAACCGAGGATCTCCCGGCCAAAAACCCAGGAGCCTTTTCTTTCCAAATCCCGGCCAAAAAACCGAGGAGCCTTTTCTTTCCAAATCCCGGCCAAAAACCGAGGATCTCCCGGCCAAAAAATCGAGGAGCTTTTTTCTTTCCAAATCCCGGCCAAAAAACCGAGGATCTCCCGGCCAAAAAACCGAGGATCTCCCGGCAAAAAATCGAGGAGCTTTTTCTTTCCAAATCCCAGCCAAAAACCGAGGATCTCCCTACACAATCCTGATTTGATCGCTTAGATATGTGTCACAACTAACTCACGAAATTTTCCTAGTGAAAACTGGGGCAGAAAAATTTCGTTTGTTGTTTGTTTTGGTGTCTTAAGCAGGTCTAACACCGAGGCACAGGGGTGCGAGACGACCGATGGAATGAGTCTCAATCCAGAATAAAGAAAAGAAGAAAAGAACAAACAGAAATGAATTCAAAATGTTGAAGCAAACAAGGGTGCGGATTGCTCAAAATCTGATCGTAGTCACAAGCTCCGCCGACCCCGTTTTGACCCAATGCTGCAGAAAGAAACAATACCTACAACCTGCGAGCATCAAGATTCAGATCGGAGTCCACAGCAAAATCAGCTAAGACTCAAGATCAAGTTTCAAGAGATTTATAGATAGGAATCTTGTAACTCATAGTTGATAGGCATAGCTAGCTTAGCTTTGATTTTCCTTTTTGGTGTAATAAGGAGCTCAGCAAGCAGAAACAGCAGCAACAGCATTGAAATCACAGCCTCCCGGTAGTCCCAGCTACCAAAACTTGCAGAACTACACTGACCTGATTCCTTTATAGCCAAGGATATGTAGGCAACCTTTAAAGCAGGGTTCGGTTAGGCTCTTTTCAAAAATGTTTCTCATGGAGTTTCAAACAGGCAAAAATCCCTCATATTGCTCACTTTATCTTTGCCCGAAAACTCTTCATGTTTCCGAGCAAAGAGGGGCAGCTGTAAGCACGTGATTTTTGCCCTATACGAAATACTCCTATAAAATCCCAAGAAAAATAAATTTTTGTTAATTATTTGACATTTTAGGATTTTTGTAGAATTTTATTAATTGTTTGCATTTTTTTGCACGTTTAATTTTTATTAAAATCATGAAAATGTCAAAAAATTATCATGCATTGCATTTAGGTTTTGCTTTTACACTTTTAGGATTAATTAGTTAATTATTTATTTTATTAAAAAATGAAAATCACAAAAAATGCGTCATTTTTACACTTTTGACTTTTATTTTTAGGTTATTGATTTTCCACTTTTTATTTAGGATTAAGTAATTTTTATAATTTTGTAATTAGTTAATTAGTTTAATTTCACATTTTCCGACAATTAAGAATTTTTAGTTTGTAGGATTTTAATTAAAAAAAAAAGGAAAATTTGAAATAAAAGAAAGAATTGGAAAAGAATTGAAATTGAGCCATCTTTAAACACCCACTAGCCCAATCTCCCTATGACCCGACCTGGCCCAATAACCCATTCCCCTCTCATTAAATCCCAACCCTAAAGACCATATCCATCAGATTTTTTTCGATCTCTACAGGGAGCGCAGCTTTTTTCCATTTTTCGACACAAAAAAAGAAAAAGGATCGGACTTCTCTTCTCAAGAAATAGCAGAGAACGGCACTCCATGGCATTTCTCAAAACAAAAACGACGACCTCACTCTCTCTCTCACGCTTAGAGGGAATGAATTTGAGAGAAAATTTTCAGATCTGAAGAACAAAGAAAAAAACCAAAAAAAAGGGGTTTTGAAGGTGCCTCCTAAATTCTGTCAATTCCCTTCATCATATTCTGGGTTTTCAAGCTGATTTCGGGGCAGATTTGAAGTTGTTTCTCTGTTGTTTTGCTGTTGTGGATCTGAACTTCATCTCCTGCCTTCCGACCTTTATTTGGTCAGTTTTTTCCATTGCGTTTTTGCTGCTAGGTACATCTCCTAAACTTGTATTATTTGCCTAATAATGGATGTGATTAAATGAATCTCATACTGTTGCTGCGTTGTATATTTGCCAAATGGGTCAAGATTTTAGTCACATAAATCTCAGTTTTGTTAAATGAACAATTGGCCCGAGATCAGTTCTTCTTAACTTCCAATTTGCTGCGCCTACTGTTATACCCGTGATATACATCAAAGTTGCTTAAGTGTGTGTCATCTTTTGTTGTTATACTAAATGCTTGACCACATAGGTATTAATCTGAGATTGTTTGGTTAACTGGTGATTGGTTTGGTTGATTAAAATGTGTTGTAGCTTCATTTTACCTTTGTTCGTATTTTTGCCTACATATGGGTACGGTGCCTGTGGCATCGTTATGATACACAATTCCAAACTCGGGGGTGCATTTCATGTAACCCGTTTGTAACAAATTCGAATAATAGAACCCTTTGAAATAATTTGAGGCGTGCCATGTCAAGTAAAATCTCAAAATTCATGGCCCTCACTTAATTAATTTTAACTCTTTAGAAATCGAGGTGTGCAATTAGTGAATTTTCTATGGCCCTCACAAATTTGAAAGTACGTAGTTGGTTTAGGCGCGTAATTTAATTTAACTTCCTTAAACTCGGGTGTGCATTTCATGTGACCCAAATCCAAATCCCAAAACGTTGAATAAAATGTGTCGAGGATCCGGGTGCATTTCATGTGACGTGATCCAAAAACATGTTTTAAACGACGTTCAATTTCTTAAAAAATTTAATTTAAAGCGGTAAATAATTTTAAAATTGCACTATAGGATGACATGTTTAAAAATCAGATTTTAGCCAATTATAATAGTTTAAGCGACCGTGCTAGAACCACGGGATCCGGGGGTGCCTAACACCGTCCCTCGGGTCAACAGAATTCCTTATTCAGAATTTCTGGTTGGCAGACTCCATTCAGGAAGTCGAAATTCCTCGATTTGGGAATCAAGATAAACCGGTGACTTGGGACACCAAAAGCCAAACCTATCCCAAGTGGCGACTCTGAAATGAATAAATAATCCCATTTCGAATAATGTCACTTTAAATGAAAAATCTCCCTTATACATTATCCTTCGGGGTAGGTGTGTAAAAAAAGGAGGTGTGACACTTTTAAATCACTTGAATTATTCGTAATTAAAGAATTGAGTTACGCGTACGTATACTCTTTTCTTTTGGCGCATCATAATCATGTCACGTGAACGTGTCCATGATTAATAACGCTTTTTGTTGATTTGTTAAGAAAGTTTGGTTGAAGTTGCGCGAACGCATCCCTCGAGTCTTTTTTAGAGTTAAATTTGCAATTATGTTACGCGAACGTATACATAATCGCAATACTAATCTAAATCGGGCCTAAAGCAAACTACGATTATTCAATTTTAATAGAAACATTTGTGAGGGCCATGGATTATTTAAATTGTTTATGACACTCCTCAAACCTTTTCTATAAGGGCTAGCTCTTGGTCTAATTTATGAGGGCCATGAATAATGGGTTTTATTTGGCATGGCACGCCTCAAACCTTTTCTATAAGGATTATACTTAATTAAACTTAAAGATATTTCCATCCGAACTTTGGGCTCAAGCTGTTGAATAACATGTAAAGTAACACAGCGGGCCTATGCAAATCGAGGCAGGAACTGGGCCAAGGCAGGCCCAGTATATTATTGCATGCTTCCTCTTTTAGGCAAAGGAAATGGGCCGTCAGTTCATTGAGCTTAAATTTGAGCCCAAAACCAAACTAAAGGATTGAATCCAGATATTGGCCCATTTAACTTAATAAGATCCCTTTGGAGCCTTCAATTCCAAATTTTACAAATTAGACTAATGATAAAATAATTCAAACTCAAATATACATGCTCAAAATGGAAACAAGAATTTTCAACATCACTCAGCTGAGGCAGGCAGCAAGAAATAAAAAGGTCTGTTGCTTCAGTACAGTCACATAGGCATCCATAAACTTTTAGAAGTAATGAGATCAATTGAACACTTGAAAGCACAAATGCAATTGAATTAGCTATAAGATGGGACAGGCTACTCTTGTAAAATCGAATGGGGCTGCACAACAGATCAAACGACATTAAACAATCTCGCTACTGTTGTCATCACGTTAGGCATACTGAACACTTGGTCGTCATAGGAATTAACTTCAGCAGTAAATAAACTTCATCAAAGGTAAACTTGCTAACATCAGAGGTTAATTAGAGAGATGAAACTCAGGCCAATTCGACAACTATTCATGCTAAGTTCATGGAGTTTCCAAACCAGCTATATTTACCAACATCCAGATTGTTCCAACGCTGTCAAATACTACTGGGATTGTGTGAGAAATATTTTCCTAACACTATTTATCAACCAAGTATTGAACTTGATTGCCCTACCTTATATTAACAAGAAACATACTCTTAACTATCATCCAACTTTATTCAGCTTGTTCTCTTAAGAACTTCAGGTTGCACTTTGAGCAAATCTTTCAAAGGCTGATTAGTTAGCACACAGTACATTTTTGAAGCTCAATTCACACTTAACATCTTTAGGCCTCAACTTTATAGCAAAATCAGATTTAGCATGACTTAACACAAGATTTGAACAACAACATTGTAGGCTGGGACAGACACGAAGGAATGCAACAGAACAAATACATAAATGCTTTTGAACATGTTACATATGAATGGAGAAGAAGTGATTAACCAAACCCAAAACACACACACAGATTCTGCCATGTCTTGATAAGGGGAGTAATACAATTTAAACCCCTTATCAAGATTCAACAGCTCAAAAACTCAACTTTTATAAGGCTTCCTCTTACTTTTTCAGCAAATCAATATACTGATTTTAACGAATCATATGAACGATTAAATGTGACGAGTGTGCGTGTGTGCAATCAGTTACAATAGGGATTACTACAGTGATCCTTAGCAGGCAAGTCCATAGTAGATTTTCAGTCTTAGACTTGCCAAAAACTCACATCCATTCATGTTTAAAACAAAGTAAACAACCATTTTACACTATTTCATAAAATGACTTCAAAGAAGAGCCAACACTTCATTTTAAATCGGAAAGCAGAAGTACAGAAATGAGATGTGTACCTAAATTCGCAACCAAAATTGAACCTTTGCCCAAATAAAGGCTAAGAACAACCAACAATGGATGAACTCAGCAAACCCAAACGACAGAAGAATAGCAGCAGATAGCCTCAAGACCTCAGTTAAACCAGCAAATGTCAGCAGTCAAAAACCCCAGCAAAGAAAAAATGAGATCGAATCCGGCTTTCACAACTGAAGTTGAGTCATTTTTTTATGTTTTCTAAAAAATCGACTGGAAAGGAAAAGGTCAAAAGAGAATGACCAAAACCTAGAAATTTTTACTCGACTAAATTTTGAAGATTTTTCTCCGATCTTTTTTCTTTAACCTAGCACACAGACTTACCTTGTATATATATAGCCCTCAAAATCTTCAAAAATCTGCCCAAAAATCCAAAAAATCTTCAGGTCTTTGAACAATTTTTGGGACAAATGGAGGGCGTGGATTGATTTCACATCTATCCACGGCTCCCATTCATCCAACAAATTATCCTTTCGTACCCGAAATCGTATGATTTGGGAGAGAATATTCGTATTTTCTGACAAATCCGGTTGGAAATAGAGGTGACGTGGAGGGGAGGGGACCAATGAGTGAGCTCGGGCGAGTTGAGGTGAGTTGAAGAGGAAGACGATGAAGGAACAGTACACCCTAGCGTCGTTTCTGATTTTCTCTAGGTTTAGGGTTTGATGGGGAAAAGTTATAAGGGGGATTTTATATTAAGGGAACCGGACGGGTCAAAATAATGGGTTAGTTCGGTTTTATTCGGACTGGGGCGGTTAAGGTTTGGGCTGGGGATTAATTGGATTATGTGGGGGGAACGATTGGGCCGAATTTGGGTGCAAAAACTGGCCGAAGTTTCAGAAATGAGCCACTTCTTTAATTTCTTTCTTTATTTCAAATTTTCTTTTCTTTTTTCTTTTCTTTCTTCTTTTTTTTTTAATTAAAAATCCTAAATTATCTAAAATGTGAAATTAAACTAATTAACTAATTATAAAAATTGTAACATCACTTAATTCTAAATTAAAAGAGGATAATCAATAAACCAAAATTAAAAGACAAAAATGTAAAAATGAGCAATCTTTTTGTGATTTTCAAATTTATATAAAGAAAATAATTATTGATTAATTCTAAAAATGTAAAAACAAATCCTAACCTAAACTGTACAACATTCTCAAATATCATATACAGTTCAAATAATATTTTTTTGCAACTTATGTCAAAGTAGACCTTCTTACTTGGATTCCTAGCTGGTGCATCCCTTACTTCATCAGGGCCAACAAGTTCTCTTTCATCATCACTACACTCGCTACCTGGATCTGAGCTATCAAAATACTGGTCATCCCCTCCTAGTTTCCCTTCATATTTTCCCCTTTTGTTCTTATGCATATCTTCAAAACCATAATCTATACCAACTGGACCAGATGGTATCTCATCTACATTTACTTGGGCATCCATCTTTTTGTTGATTTTTAGACTGTC